AAGCCAAACCCCCATCAGTGAGAGAACAACTATATACTACCTGCCCTGACTTGCTTGCACCAGAATGGGAATCCCTCCCTGCTTGCCAGTCACAATCCTTTTGGCTCCTAAGTCTGAAAATACTGACTACAGTCACAAAATAGACAAACCTCCACTTGGTTTTCTTGCAGTTGAGAAGAGCTGAAGAAGTCCCCCCTCAGAGCCAGCTACAACCTCCTCAGATGATGGGAAGGACACAAGAGTCACCTTGCCTCAGCAGCAACCCCATCAAGGGCAGAGGACAGTAGACAGGCTGGATAGCTTCATTCATGTCAAGACACCATCCAGAGAAAGATGGTCCAAGAGAAAATCTAGAATAAGTGATCCTCCAAGAAACATACAGTGTCCAGTGCTCTAAGAAACAGGAGTTACGGAAAACCTACCACAATGGCAAGCCTGGAACCTCATGCCACACATTTACCTACCAAGTCAAGTCTAGACAAACCTTTTACCATAGTGGTGGATGTGCAGAACGAGCACTGAGACACTAGCACAGGCACCAAAGCACTGCTGGATCAGAGCAGACTCTGCAGTGCCATCTGTGTGTCCCAGGGCCACTGACAGACATTTCAGCTTGGAATTTCTTTAAGAACAAAATACCCAGCAGTTTCCAAAAACATTTGCATACCCTGAAGCAACAGAAGATTCCTTTACAAGGAATACTTTTATTAGGCACCAAATGAAACAGCCAAGTCCTTCCAGTGCCACACAGAGTGCTTAGATCTCCTGTCAAACCCAGCTTTACTGCTCAGTCATCCTAAGCAATTCGCAGAGCTAAGCAAACAGGCCAACAGTCACGCTTGTGCACTGCTCATCCCGTAGACGTGCAAAGGTGAACGCAGGGACAGACAGATGTCAAATACCAAGTCAGGCTGCACAATCGGCCATACCCAAACCACACTTTCATTGGTGACCCTGTCCAGTCCTGGCATTAAACTTTAAAGATGGCATTAAAGATGCAAGTGCTGTAGGCAGAACTGCTTAAGCAATTACAGAATAGCAAAAGAAGCCTGACTTGATGTCAGCCCTGTTCAGGGATGGAAGTGTATTAAAGTGTCAGAAAACCCCACTGACTTCCAGATGTACTTTCCACTAACCTCATCACCCAAAAAAAAGTCCTTGATCCCGCCCTCAGCAGCTTTCTACTTTGTTTTCTTTGCTCCTGCCTCAAACAGCCCTAACTGACCTCCTCTTCTGTCAAGCCTGCCCTCCAAACTCCCTTTCCTCTGCTGAAAAAAGATGGATTCCCACATCAAATGGGGGTTGCCCTGGGAGCTGATACCTTCTGGCCCATCAGAGGAAGAACGACAACATGCCAGGGAACTGCAGCAGTTCTCCAGAGAGCTCAACCAACAGAAGGTGGAGGTAGATCTCACTCAAGCTACGTACCAGGGAATGGAGCCATGCACATCCACTAAACAGCCCCAGCTGCCTTCCTTGTGCCAGGGCAGCACAAATCCTCTCTGCTTTCCTGCTTATGCCACAGGGGCATCTAGTGGCTGAGCCCCCAAAGAGCAAGTAAAGCCACCGCTTGCAGTGTCTACACTGCATTTAAGGATGTACTTAATAGTTGAAGTGAGATGCTGTTGCTGCCAGCACGGAGACAGTTTACTGCAGGATTTCTGGGCACACTGCTACCTTTTACTCCACAACCCTGATGGACCTTTCTTCCATTCACTGATCTAATGGATTTCTGAATCCGTTAAGACTCCTGGTAGCCCCAGCGTCCAGAAATGTCACAGCTTAACTGCACTGATAATCTCCTTTAGCTTTGAGTGTCTCATGTCTGTTAGCTTTGATATTAGAAGAGCCAGTTGCCACTGGCTTCCCCGTTGACATCTGTGATACTGCCTGAGACTGAACAGAGGTCCAACAGAGCCCTTTTTTAGCTATCTCCTCTCCACTCTGAAGAGCCTAGCCTGCCTAGTCAATCCTTTTACAGAAACTCCTCCACATAGTTCAGCACCCTTTTTCTGTTCTGCTCTTTGCACCCGTTTTAGTTTGCTACACTCAGAAATGACGAACTCAGAATCAAACACAGTCCTTAAGATACAAGGAACACATGGACATCTAATGGCATTCCTAGCAACAACCTAGTTTCTTTTGGCTGCTACTAAACACTGAGCTGATGTGTTCACAAAACCACCAATTATATCTCAGAAATACCTTTCCTGAACAGGAATACGTAGCTCAAGGCCCATAACTGTGTGTGCTTGGAGTCAGCACTGTTTTTCCTGGAAGATGTTGCTTAACATTTAGCTACAGCAACCATCAGCGGGATATAGGTGTGCCCCAGATACACTGTCAATACAGCCAGCTTGCTTAGTTCAGCTTATGCGGCCAATACTCAGACATTGATCCCCTTGCAGGAGCTCCTAAAAAGGCAGTGCAACTTGAAATCATGCTCACTGTGAACTGGAAGAGATCCATTCAGATATGCTTCCTCTCCCCTTCTGGATATCCTTTAAAATGAAATAATAATAATAACATAATGCTAAATCATAGAATCATAGAATGCTTAGGGTTGGAAGGGACCTCTAGAGATCATCTAGTCCAACCCCCCTGCATATGCAGGGACACCTAGAGCACATGGCACAGGACTGCGTCCAAGCGGGTTTTGAAGATCTCCAGAGAAGGAGACTCCACAACCTCTCTGGGCAGCCTGTTCCAGTGCTCTGTCACCCTCACTGTTAAGAAATTTTTCCTTAAGTTCCTATGGAATTTTTGATGTTTCAGTTTCCGGCCATTTCCTCTAGTCCTATCAGTGGCCACCACTGAAAAGAGACCATCCCCGTCCTCTGCACTCCCTCCCTTGAGGTATTTATATACACTGATTAGATCCCCTCTCAGCCTTCTCTTCTCCAGGCTGAACAGGCCCAGCTCCCTCAGCCTCTCCTCATAGGGCAGATGTTCCAGGTCCCTGATCATCCTTGTAGCCCTGCGCTGGACTCTCTCCAGCAGCTCCACATCCCTCTTGGACTGTGGAGCCCAGAACTGGACACAATAAGGTTGGTCCCCAGCCTGTACTGGTGTCTGGGGTTATTCCTCCCCAGGTGCAGGACCTTGCACTTGGCCTTGTTGAATTGCATGAGGTTTTTCACCGCCCAGTTGTCCAGTCTGTCCAGGTCCCTCTGGATGGCAGCGCAGCCCTCTGGGGTATCGGCTACTCCTCCCAGTTTCGTGTCATCAGCAAACTTGCTGAGGGAGCACTCTGTGCCTTCATCCAGGTCATTGATGAATAAATTGAACAGGACTGGACCAAGGACTGACCCCTGGGGGACCCCACTAGCCACAGGCCTCCAACTAGACTCTGCACTAAAGACACAACATCTGCTTTACTTTCAAAAAAAAATCTATTTAGCTTCAGACTAGCACTCTGTTTTCAGCCTTGTAATGCAAGTTTGAGCTTTTATTGAGTTCAAACACACTGAGCCATGACCCTAATATGAAGGAACAGCAATGTTTCTAGAACTGTATTATACGTAGTGCTACATACAATACTATAAAATGGTATACTATGCTACACAATACTACATCCTACTGAAATAACGTCTAATATTTGTAACTTATTTTAAAGTGAGAAAATGACATTTTTGCCTTTGATCACTGGTATGTCTATAGGATAATTTAGACATCAAGCCTAAACATGTAGCAGCTTTAGCCATGATGCTGCTAAATAAATAATGTGTAGGAAAGGCCAATGGCTACAGCTGGGAAGCTTCAGGCTTTTACTCTGCTGAAGGTCAAACACAAAGGAACCAACATAAAAAGGAACAAAACAAAGCGGAGAGGGGGGATAAACAAGAGAACTTGGCCACACACGGCACACGGTGGCTCAGGCAGAAAAGGCAGCCCTGCATTTCCTAGGAGCCCCAAATAACCCTAGGGCTCACAGGCACCCACCATCTAGTAGGGACCACCACGTGCCAGAGCCATAGCACCTGATGCTGCTAAAACCCAGCTAAAACCCAGTCCTTTGGTTGATGCTGATGCCACTTCAGGAACAGACTTTTCCAGGGCTAACTGTGATGGGACAGCCAGGATGACCAAATGGAGCCTGCTTTTTCACCCACGTATTCCTCTGACATCTGCTTCAACATCAAACTAGCTTCTAGATGTTTCCTGAACAGATCTTCCTTGACCACTTTTTATTTTTCCCTTGAATGCAGAACAATCCTTTCTAAACAAAATACAACAGCTAAAGTAGGTGGGATTTTAATTAATTACATAGGAGTACTTCCCTCTCATCTGTTTTCGTATTTCACTGCCTATTCTGCATGGGTAGGTTATTAGGCAACACTCACAGCTCACTTACCTGGGCTTTAGGTGACAGCCACAGCAACACACTCCTGACTTACCCAGGCAGTGACAACCCCATCAAAACACAATCCTTTGCTGGGAGCCAGGACTATGGACAGGACAGTATAAGCACCTTTAGCTTGAGGTGACTTAAGGAGGGGGAAGGAAAAAAAAAAAAAAAAAGTTACAGAATCACAGAATGGTTGAGGTTGCAAGGGACTTCTGGAGATCATCTAGTCCAACCCCACTGCTCAAGCAGGGACACCTAGAGAATACAGGGGAACCAGGAGCAAAAACAACTCTCTGAAGCTTTGTGTTATTCAGGGAGTTTACATCAAACTGTGCCTGGGGTAAGGAGGGCAGGGGCTTCATTTTGGCCTGCACATAGAGAACAGAGCTGTGAATCTGCACACAAAATGCAGGCTTTTTGCTTTTCATGATTCCAGGATTCCTACCTGAACACGAGAGCCACACAGTGTGCCTTCCTCCCTTGGGGAGCACTGCAAGGCAGCGGCACAGGGCTCAAAGCCACCACAGCTGTGGGACTGCCTCTCCTCTACTCGACTCCCACCATCTCCTGCCACCAATTCCTTAGAGCCCCGATTTTATAAACTGCAAGAAAAAAACACACACAGGAAAATAAAAATCAGACTCCCCAACAGGACAACTGTCCCCACGCGTGAACGCGGGGCCCCAGCCCGGGGGCGACTCCGGCCGGCAACAAGAGGTAACGCGACACCCTCCACACGGGCGGAACAGAGCGGCCGCGCCGCAGCGGGCCCTCCCCAACCCCTTCGCCGACTACGACAAGTCGCTGGCCACGGGCTACTTCGACCCCGCGGGGCGGGTGAGTGCGGCCGGGGCGGGCGGGAGCTCCGCTGAGCGTTACTCGGGGTAACGCGGGAGCAACGAGCCCTCCCCCGCGCTCAGACTCACCGGGTTCACCTAGAAGGAGGGCGCAGGCCGCGCTGGGCAGCGGGGCCGGGAGGACTCACGCTTTGGTGTCTCCCGCAGCTGACGCCCGAGTTCACGCAGCGCCTGAACAACAAGATCAGGGAGCTGCTGCAGCAGGTGGAGAGGGGTCTGAAGTCCGCGGATGCCCGCGACGGCACGGCCTACACGGGCTGGGCAGGTAGGGCGCCCGGGTTTGCCCCGGGAGCGCTGCGCGTTTCTGCAGGGTTTTCAGTGGGTTAAACCAAGGACTTGGTTTCTTGGGACTCCCCATGCCCGGCAGTGGGGTTGTGGGGCAGGTTTGGGCCTTCTCTGGGTTCGTGAAGCCAAAGTTCTGCAAGAGGTGAAGCCCAAGGCTTGAAATGCTGTTGGCTGGGAGCAGATGTGGGAGCCCTGAAGGGCTGGGCGCCGCATCCAGCCCATTGCACGTGGGGATGGTGGCCAGTGCAGCACAGGCACAGATGCAAGTATAAACCAAGGACAGAAGCTTTTCTTACACTATCTTTTCTGTGGGAAGGTTCCAGAAGCATTTTTTTACCCCCCTCATTCTACATCTTCAGTTTTGAACCTGCCCTGCCTCTCCTTCCCGGGTTGCCACCCTCTGGAGCTAGTAAGGACTTGCCATTCTTTGCCTTCCCGTCCCTGCCTCTTGCTGGGTGCTTTTTCAGCCTCCTGCCACTTCTTTGTGCCGTGGCAGGCTCTAGGGAGACACAGGCAACCTCATGACTGCTGCAAGATATTTGGCTGCCAACTTAATACACTCACGGTCTTGGCCTGTCCTGGCTGTCACTCTGTGCTTTTTCTTCTTAACATGGTGCTTCTTCTTCTTTTCTGGTCACTATACACTGCAATTTCAAGTGATGATTTCCTACCCTGTGACCAGCCTATGGTTGGCTTATATCTGGAGCCACCATTTTTTCAGGAGAAACGTGTCCACTGTGTTGATGCTAGGCTAATGTTGCAGCTTAGGGTGAGAGCAGTGCCAAAAATGTCTGCTTAAAGACTTTTGTAAGGCAGGCTGAGGCCCTGACGGCAGCCAAAGAGCTTCACAAGAAATACCAGATTGCCAGCTCTCAATCTCTGCGTGGGAGTCTTCATTCGCTGCCTAGCAGCGCTCCAGCGCTGCTGCCTCTGAGTTTATGCATTTCTGCTCAGTGCTGGCTGGTCTTGGCTTGGGAGATGGCTTTGATCCTCTGTATGATCCCCTGGGTTGAGAGTCATTCCCTGCACGAAGCTGCTCTTCGGACGCAAAGATGCTGCTTGTCGTGGCAGCAGAGCCTGCCTCTGTCCAGAAGAATTCAGGAGAAAGCAGGACAACTGGCTCCTCTTAGGAGTACCCGAAAGTCCAGATCCAGAGGGACTGATTCCTCCCTTCTCCCTGGGGATCATGTTTTACTGTGCGCTCAGCCTTCTCACCCTGGCCGACGGGATTGAAATAAGCCCATTCCTGCAGGTCACAGCCAGAGAAGTGGAGTTTGGAGATATTACACTGTATCTTTCTCACCCCCTTTCTCTTCTAATCCTAGCTCTATTAATTTATTCAGTGTGGCTTCCAGAGAAGAAATTAATTGGGCCAAGACAGCAGCTTTTTCCCTTAATTGCTTGTGTAGAAAAGGCTTGTTGAGTATCTTCTCATGTAAATCATTGCCCAGCAGTCTGAAATGAATCCGCACTCTTGTGGCTGCTAATAAGAGGGGTTTGAAACGCATTCTCTGAGCATGAGCTCTGCAGGACATGTAAAATACTCGAGCATTACTACTACATTACCCCCAGTAATGCACAGCATACACTGGCATTTTACTCCTGCACCCACTTCTTTCCCCAACACACTCAAGAGTCTTGTTTCCCTGGCCTGTATTTGTGCCAGGGAAGCTACAGCTTCTTGGCACAGAAAGTTGGAGCAGAGGGAGAGCAACACTTAGATTTTCAGCTCAGAGGCAGCAAAAACACCCTTCGGATCAAAATTATCCAGTGGAAAGCTGAATTCCCCCAAAACGCGTTTGAAGCAGCTTGTTACACTCTTATTCAGTTTCCCACAGACATCAGAGCTCTGTAGGCCAAGCCCGGTACACACTTGGGTATAGACCAGGCTCAGCTCTTGTGTTCTGTTTTGTCTTTTAATCAATTTAACTAGACTCCTGCGAAAGCCTTTGTGGTTTAAATCCATTTCACTTGTATCAAAACATTGACTGAGGGAAGGTAAACTGCCATAAGCTCGTTCTGAATCTGAAGCAGTTCAAATCCTGGCAGGAATACAAGTGTCTGATACATTTTCAAATAGATTAACATGAGGATGCCTAAGAGTACATAAATGTGTTGCTATTTCTCATAGAGTGAAAGGCCCTACTCCAAAGACATTAGAGTGGAAGCTCAGGCAGTGCAAAGCTAATGAAAGTCTCTGTCTGATTTCACTGCTCTCACCTCTTAGGCTGACGGCAGAGCTACGTCCCGAGCCTGCTGCCTGACGAGATGATCTTCTATGCAAGATGTTATGTGAAGGAATGTTCCATATTCCTCCATATTCTGGCAGCTCTTCTGGAGTTAGTTTTCCATGCAAACATTCCCTTCTCTATCACTACAACAAGCTTGCAGAGCTTGCGGTCTTCCAAAGCAAACCAGCAAGTGCAGGTGGCTTGTCCCAACTCAGAGCTGGTGGCTGGTGAGTGAGGAGGAGTTGGGCTGAGCTGCCTTTCAGGAGGACTCCTCAGAAGGCACATCAGGTGGGAGAGAAGCTATTTAACAATGGATAGAAATTCTGACCCTATCCAAGAAATCTTCTGATCAAACATCTTCCGATTGCTTTAGTGTGGTATCTTAGTTTTAACCTTAGTTTTAACCTCAGGAGTTGCACCTCAAATTCTGTCAAGAAGAACAAAAATCCCCAAATAACACCCGCAGAGCAAGAGGAACAGAGGCTGCATTCAGTGAGGGAGAAATGCCCTGTGTCATTCACATATCCATGCAAGCCACATTCCTGCCAAGTGCCTAGTGTGTTGTTTTTGTGACATTGCCTTCTTGGAGATATTCCTGGACAAAGCTGGAAGCAATCAGATGCAAGTTTGGAGCTGGCATTATGTTGGTGGGGGGGGTGGGCTTTGATCAAGAGGTCCCTTCTAGCCTAAACCATCCCAGGATTTTTGGTGGTATAAGTAGTTTTGTTTTGGACAGGCCTTTGTTTTGTGTCTTTACAGAACAAATATTTTGTTTGTTTTTCCACAAAAGGAGCTTTGTTACCCCAGTTTTACATCTGGAGATGCTAGGGCAGCCTGAGAAATGCCCTGTGTCCCACACCACATTGGAAGGAGAGCTGCAGTAAGACCTAATGTCACATCCCGGGTTTGAAACACGGGGTGATACATCCCCCTCGCACCCCATTCAACTCCCCTTCTGCACACATTTGTGTGTGAGCTGACACCTCATGTTCCTGCACCAGAAAAGAGACGCTCTGTTCCCACTGCTGTGCTCTCACCAGCAGAACTTCTTGCAAGGGAAGCGCAATCCAACACGAAGTACAAGCCTCAGCGTGGCACCAGAGGGGAAGTTCAGGCACACCTTTACTTTGAAGCCCACTGCAGTGCCTTAGCTCTCCTGCAAGAACGTGTCTGGCAGCTCCAGTGCTCTTTGCTCTGAGGGAGACAGTGGTTGCTGAAGTCAGCACAACAGTCAGCCAGAAAGATTAATCGTCTGCTTCAGCCAGGTACATGGTTCCATTTGGCTGTCTGCACTTAAGTCTGCTTCTGTGTATCCCTGAAAAGAAGCTTCTCTAACCCAACAAGGCACCCCCTACAAGCACAACACTCCCCATGTGTGATGGGGAGAGAAGAGAGATGCCAAAACTCAAAAAAAAAGGATGATGCCCTACAGTTAGCAGGTGTGTCAGGCATCAACACTGCATTGCATTGGCTTCCTGCACACCAGGACAGCACCTGCAGTCAGCAGAGCCCTGCTGAAGGATGGACTGTCTCTTAACACACATATTCACTGTAGCCCAGACCATCAGGTGCTGTCAGGTGCAGTCTCCAGGAGGAAGGGAAAAAGAGGACTCCTTTCCATCTGTTGGGAGAAGCCAGAATTCTTGGAGCCTTTGCCAAAATGGCCTCTGTCACAGAATGCTTGGGCCTGGGGTGAAAGATACTTTAAAAGCCACATGACAAAGATGACACTGGAGAAAATGGTAGTGCAGCCTTTACGTCCCTAGAATTTCCTCCTAGCTGTAGCCTTGACAGAGTAGTTACCTACCTAATTAAGGTGGCAGTGGGACCTGAAGCTACTTGCAGGACAAAAAGTGGGCTGTTAAAGCAGCTAGCTGCCTGAACACAGCTTGCACTGTCGAGGTACCAGACCTATTAGAAGTCTAGAGGCTGTGCTATGTGCTAAATGAATCCAGGAGAGTCACTTGACATTTGCTAACTGGAAAAGACAGGTTCCCCTTTAAAGAGCTTCATGTCCCCATCCTTAAAAACCTGAGCGATGGGACCAAACACCCGAGATGCTCTCTGGAAACATTTAACACTCGTCTGCTCAGGGAGAGGGACAAGGTTATTAACTTCAGCAGGAAATAGAAATTTGCCCTTAATATACATGTGAAATTGAATTGTCTGCAGCACAAAGCTTTGGAGATTACCCGTGCAAAATGAGGAAGTGATCTATATTTAAAACTGTCCTCAGTAGAATGGAAAATAATTTTGAAGCATGCTTTTCTTTTCCCCCCCTCATTTCTTTTCCTCTTATAGCATCAAAACTTGAGGTTGTCTCTAATAGTTTAGGCTTAAACACAGGACTTGTCACCTTACAAACAGTTTCTGGTAAGGGCAGATGAGCTTTCTGGCAATTATTCAGGCCAGTAGCTTCCTTGCCGCACGTTTGAGGATGAATCACAGGGGTGCTCCCAATGTGGCAGGCCTTTCCAACGGGGACGTGCTGGGGACTCTTCAATTACATATTAAAGCTTCAAGAGCAGGATGAAGATAGAGCAGAGTGAGAGGGCAGCTGCTGATGCTACCTCCTAGTAGCAGCTGGCGTGGTCCCTGTAGCCAAGTGTCACACAGGGGAGATCAAGGGGGACCAGGGAGCGTTTTCCAGCCTCCCAGACAGCTGCCCATGTTTCTCACAAGGCTGCTCATAAGTGGTGTGCAGCAGGATGGGGGAGTCCAGCAGCCCCGTTCTCTCCAAGGAGGCTCCTCTCCTTGAGGTAGGTCTGGGAGCTGCTCAGGAGTCCAGGGGGTTGCAGCTGCCTGGCTGCTGCTTCCCACCGGGAGGGAGGAGAGGAGCCAAGGGCCTCAAGGATGCTGCCTTTCCTCACCTGGTCCAAGAGACACAATCCTCCTCTTCTGGCAGGGGAAAGGGCTCAAGACCCACTAAAGCCTCAGCCCTGCTCTTCCCCAAGTACCACTTTTCCTTGTTGCTTTTTACTGTTTAGCAAAGTTGCAGGTAAAGGTGATAGCTCCAGGCGGGCTCCCTGGGCCCCATCGTTGGCTCTCCTGCCTCTAGGATTGCAGCCTGCGGTGCCCTGGGACCGCGTGGGCCAGACCCCGCTGCCCACCTTGTCCTGCAGCCTGCTCATCAGTGGCACCAAGTACAGCGAGTCCCAGAGCAGGAAAAGCAGCCGTGCAGGCTGCAGCTCTGGGTTGTGCCTCTGCACGTGGCCGAGAAGCCTTCCTAAGTGGCACATGTCCCACATGAGGCTTAGAGGTGGCTTCTAGATTTGTTCCAACAGCCACAATGTTTAGTGGAAAGGACAAAACAGGCAAACTTTTCTCCCGGTTGCAATCCTTGCGTTCCTTTGCAGGCATTGCCTTGCTGTACTTGCACCTGCACGATGTGTACGGAGACCCGGCCTACCTGCAGGCGGCCCACGAGCACGTGAAGAAGAGCCTGAGCTGCCTGAGCAGACGATCCATCACGTTCCTGTGCGGAGACGCCGGGCCCCTGGCCGTGGCTGCTGTCACCTACCACAGACTGCAGAACCCCAAGCAGGCCGAGGACTGCGTCACTCGGTAACGGGCCCATTACGGCCTCCACCCCGCGTTCCTCCTGCTCCTCGAGCTGGCCCAGCCTTTTACCCGTCCCTCCCTGCCAAACCCAAGTACATTTTGCCACAGCCTGGTGAAAAAGAGAGAATCCAGCAACTGAGCAAGGTGGTACAGATTTGTCTGGCCCTGGAGAAAGGGCTTAAGGGTAAATGCTCCTGTCTGGCAGGCTGCTGGCTGGGACCAGGGAAGGGGGCAAGGTTATTTTTAAGCTGGTGTTTTCATCTGAGAAATTACTCAGAGAAATAGGGAGCAACAGCAGTCTGTGAAACACAGGGAAAAAAAGAGTATTGCCAAAATTAAAAAAAAAAAAACCCTAAACAAATAAAAACTGCAATCTGGGCTTTGGGGTTTTTTTAAGAACCTTTAAATTTAGTTTTAACAGGCATTTTGATGAAAACAAGAGATGGGGCAAGATTATTAAAAAGAATTTGATCACTGTCTTCCCCTTATTATTTGTTAGTTGATTTTGATTTAAACCTATAATTGAGTGCCCTTTCAAATGCTAAAGGCAGTTAGTTATGATTCATTTATTTCTATTTTCTGCCTTCAGCTCCTTTCAATTTTTTTTTTTTTTTTTTTGCTTTAAGTAGCCAACAAAAGTAAATACTTGTAAGCAGCCCTACAATAAGATCAGGAAGTGACAGAGGAAGGGAAAAAAATAAGAAAAGGAGAGATTGCAGCAGGAAGCTTTTCTTGCTTGGGATTTGAGAAGGTGAGAAACAGCCCTAGATAGAGTTTCCAGTTATGTGTGGTCAGCACACTGGCAAGACAAAACCCAGCAACTTCTGATTGACACTGAATGGCCATCAGTAAAAAACTAATAATATCAGTTTAAAAAAAAAAACAAAATTGGGAATTAGAGGTACCTATAAGATTGGAACACTCGGTTTCCATGCCTTTGCTAAGAGTAGTTTCTGCTTATGCAGGTATAGCTAGTCAAGGGGACTGAACTCCTTTCTTTCTTCTTGAAATAACATAGGTTAGTCAGTAATTTGCTTAATCTACCAATGATCTTAGAGCAGCTCACTAGGATTTATATATTGTTAAGAGAGAGCTAAGGTGTCAACCAGTACTGCCCAGTTGTGGTTGGGCAAGCTGTAGGAAGTCCCCAGTTCTTGTTTTCTTGCTGCAATTCTCCCTCCTTGTATCTCTCCTGTTCTGTCAATAGTTTTGTGGCAGAAGGGGGAAAAAAGATTAATTCTGCACTGCCACCTAATGTCATAATAAGGGCAGAGCTGAGGAAACAGGTGTCTTCACAAGTCTGAGAAGAGAAAAATAGGGCTTTCCTGAAGCAAGTTACACTGTCCTTACTCTACTGCCAGCCAATTCCCAGAGCAGTTAGCTTGAACATCCTACAGAAAAAGAGCCCGAGGAGAGAATTCATCAGCCAGGTTCTCCTTGCAGTGGAAGAAGCAGAAGTTGCTTTTTTTGGCTTCTTGCTCTTGCTGAAATGAGTTCGTGACCAATAAATGTACTTTATACTCCGGAGAGACTTAATATTTCAGCCTGTCTTCCAGGAGCTTGTGAAAACCTGATCTATGTTCTGGGAGTCCTCTCTTAACCTGCCATCTCCCACCAGTTCAGGGGGCCAGGGGTTTGCTTGGAGAGCCAGGGGTGTGCAAAATCCCATCTCACTGTACAACTGCCTCACTCTCCCCCGACCAGAAAACACTGATTTTTTTGTAGCTGACCTAATAGCTTTGTGAGCCACGGTTTTCCTTCGGGGCCCTCAGTTTGTTCCCTTATGCCCAAGACATGCAGTCTGCAGACCAGCTGCACCCCAACGTTTGCACTGTGCTCCCTGCAACTCCACTCTCTCCTTTCCCATCTCTGCTCACTTGGGATCCAGAGCCAAGAGAATTTTTCCCGCCCAGAGTCAGAGCCCGGCATCCCCCGCGGCTCCTCAGTGCTCCAGACACTCGCTTGCTCCTTCCCTTGCCCAAGAGCAAGAGCTGCCACAGCAGCTTTGCTGTCCTCGTGCGCACACGGCTGTCCCAGCGTGAAACCACGGCGGCTGCAGCTGAGGAAACAGCCTTGGAGCTGCTCCTGCTGGTGTTGTAAAAGCGCTGGCACTTTTCAGGCTGCTGCCTTGGATGAACAGCAGAATAAAGCTAAAAGCAGTCTGCTCCCTGCCTCGTGCTTGCTGCTCTGACAGGGAAGGACACACAGCCTTGTTGGAGGTGTGACAAGCAGCAAAGCGGGCAAGAGTCGGCCCTGTCAGTCAGTGTTAGGACCACAGGCCTATCGCCCCGTGTACAATGTGCCAGCAGCCTGAAAAATGGGACAGAAGCTCTTGCTTGTGCAAGGGGGCAGCTCCGGGGGGCAGCAGTTACTTGGTTACATGGCTGGGGGTGTCGTGCTGCTGTGACCCACCCGCACACGTTTTCCTTTGCAGCTTGCTCCACCTGCACAAGGCCGACCCCCGCGTGCCGGATGAGCTGCTCTACGGGCGCGTGGGCTACCTCTACGCCTTGCTGTTTGTGAACAAGCACTTCGGGGAGGAGAAGATCCCACAGAGTCACATTCAGCAGGTACTGTGGCTCCCCAAAAGCAAAGGCTAAACCAGTCCTCTGTCTCTTCCTGCCCAGCTTATTGCTGGGTGCGTAGAAACATGCTAGAGCTCTGGCAAGAAGTTAAAAAACATGTCCACATATCCCCACTGCTGGTACCAGCTTTCCAAAGGGACAGGGCATCGGATGTCTGAGGACAAAAGGCAGCAGCCACAACCTGAAGCACAGGAAGTTTTCTCTGAATTTGAGGGAAAACTTCTTGACTCTGAGGGTGCCAGAGCCCTGCAACAGGCTGCCCAGAGAGGCTGTGGTCTTCTTCCCTGAAGATACTCACAACCCTCCTGGATGCCACCCTGTGCCACGTGCTCTAGGTATCCCTGCTTGTTCAGTGGGGTTGGACTAGATGATCTCAAAGGTCCCTTCCAACCTCAACCATTTGTGATTCTGTGTAACCCTTATACATCCCCATACACTGCTGGGGTGGCAGCTGTTTTACTCCTTCATCCACAGTCTTCACTTGGCATGTGTGGATCAGCAGCAGCCCAGGACTTCATTCCCTGTTGGGATACTCACTGTGTTGGCTCCGAGGTGTTCCCAGGGCGTTCCCCTCACCCAGCTCTGTTGCTCTCTGTAGGTCTGTGAAGCAGTTGTGGCCTCAGGAGAGAACTTGGCCAAAAGGAGGAACTTCACAGCCAAGAGCCCACTCATGTACGAGTGGTACCAGGAGTACTTCGTAGGGGCAGCCCATGGCTTGGCTGGGATTTATTACTATCTCATGCAGGTAAGGGGCAGCTGGAGGGGATGAACCATCGGCAACTGCTTCCCCTCTCTTCTGCTGCAGTGGCTCTGGGTGATGGCAGGCCAGGCACGCTCCCTTATTGGGTTATGCATCCCCCCTTCCAGGGGTTTTTCCACATCCGTGAGGCTGGAGTTCCTGCCTCCATGGAGATGCCTAGGCAGATGGGAACTGCATTATACCAGCAGTTTCATGGAGCAAAGCCCTGTCCAGGTTAGCTGCTCTGATCTCCCATTCCTTGTGCTAACTGCTGTGAATCGCTCCCATGTGTAACCAACATCCTGCAGTGTTTCTGAGGGGGTGACCTGGAGCAACTTCACATCATTTCAGAGTGAAAGCTTCCATGTGAAAAGCCTGGTGGAGAAGATGAAAGCCAGAGTAGGACAGGGAGAAATGCCTGGGCTTCCAAATCAGGGCCTATACCCAAATATTAAAGGGTAGGGCTTTTTATTTTTACAAGGCAGCTGAGGTCTATAGTGCCTGTAGCAACCACTGTGAGACAAGCAGCTAGGAGCTGCTGTACCCCTTTGCTTTGATACTGTTTTTTCACAATTTTACATGGGAGGAACAGCCACAGAAAGTGTTGGGGAAGCAGTGAGGGACATATAGAGAGGGGAACACTGGAACTTTTATATCCCATGGTTTCACAGCACAAGTATCGATGGTTAGTTTACAAGTTACCAACCTGGGAACGGCATGATCCATAGACTAGAGTTCTTATTGCAGTCGGTCAGAAGTCAGAACTGCACAGGTCATCTGCAGCAGTGTAACTGGAGGAGGACACTGCAGTCCCTCTCCTGCTTTCATCCGAGATCAGTGGTAAAATCGCTGCCTTGCAGGTCCCTGGGAACATCTGTGTGAAGGCAGCATTCCACCCTGCAGCTGGGCTGGAGGTGAGGAGTGCCACATTCCTAGGGCTTATTTGTGGCATTCAGCCTTAACGTTGTTTCTCCAGGCTTCACCTCCCACCCGGAGCTTGCTGCTCATCTTCAGAAGCCCTCTCCTCGTTTGCTGGGGGGCTGGCTGGCACATAGGTCCAGGCAGTGTTTCTGAGGACACAAGGGTACCACTGGCAGTGAGACCTCGCTGGCACACTGAGCAGCCTGGGGGCTCTGGGTTTCAGTGCCAGGCGAGTGTTTGTGCAGTGCAAAAATCCAGCACAGAGAGAGAGCTTCATGTACAAAGAGCAAGAAGGGAGGCTGCAAGAGTCAGCCTTGTTTGTGCCTTTCAAGGAGCCCTTGGCCCTCTTTATGGAGACACAGAATGGCAATTCTCACTGATTTAACCCTCCCTCTTTTAGCCTGGCCTCGGAGTGAGCCAAGTGAAGCTGCACAACATGGTCAAACCCAGCGTGGATTACGTCTGCCAGCTCAAGTTCCCTTCAGGCAATTACCCTCCATGCATCAATGACACCAGGGACCTGCTCGTGCACTGGTGCCACGGGGCACCGGGTCTTATCTACATGCTCATTCAGGCCTACAAGGTACCAGATATCCTAAGAGCCTTTGGGGACCCCTGAGCGTGGAGTCTGAGCAGGGAGAAAACTCTTGGGAACCCCCTGCCAGAGAGCAGGACAGTTGTCATAACGAAATCACCCCATGGGGAGTCCCGAGCAAAGTAGAAATCAGCCTTTTGGGAAGTGATTTCTGAAAACACCCACCAGTCCTGGAGGGTGTCCTGTCACAGGTAATGGGTGGTAAGAGCCAGGTGGGCATTGAGTAACATCCTACAACCCCATTCCTCGCTTTGAAAACACCCGCTGTGGAAAGCGGGTATTAAGGGCCCTGTAGGAGAGGAGCTCCTAATTAACCAGCTTCCTGCAGGAAGCTGCCTCGGCCGGGGGTGATGTCCTTATCCACACAGGTGTTCGGGGAGGAGCGGTACCTGAGCGACGCGCTGCAGTGCGCGGAGGTCATCTGGCAGCACGGGCTGCTGAAGAAGGGCTACGGGCTGTGCCACGGCACGGCCGGCAACGCCTACGGCTTCCTCGCGCTCTACAACCTCACCCAGGACATGAAGTACCTGTACAGGGCCTGCAAGGTGAGAGGGGTGATTCATGTCTGCCCTTTCCGCCTCTGCCTTTGTAACCACATTTCTAGATCTGCCCAGCTCCAGCAGCCCCTCATCAGCGCAGTCCCTGTTCAGGAGTATCGTGCACGAGCCTTGCTCTGCCACGTGATGGCCTGAGAATGCGGGTGGTAATTTTTAAAAGCCAGCTTCTAACAAAACGTGGACATTTCTGTTCCCCTTTTCCCAGTTTGCAGAGTGGTGTTTAAGCTATGGCCAGCACGGGTGCCGGACGCCAGACACTCCGTTCTCGCTCTTTGAAGGTAACGTCTCTCCCTCGTCTTTGTTCTGTAGCTGGGTAAGATCCAGTCCAGCACTGAGAACTGAATACCCGTTTCTCTGATTCAAAACTCCGTGTAGAGGATGGGAGGGAAACTGTATGTGCTGCTGTTACCCATTCTCAAAAGGCTTCTTGTAGCACAGGCCATGGCTCCAGCTGGAGCATCTTGAGTTTCTGGGACTCCAGGTCACAAGCCTCAAGAGAAATCTTTAATGGGCACAGGCCAAAGTTTACCTTGCAGCAACTGTAGCCCAACTTCTCAGGCAGTTTTGCTCCTCTTTGCATTTATAAGGATTGAAATCCTTCCTGGAGTTCCCAGTTCCATTCGAGACATCAGGGAAAAATAGATGGAATCGTTTTTGTTGGCCTTGCTGGCTCCCAAGGCACTTTGTGGCCCCCGTGAATGACTCCCCAAAATGTGCCATCAGCAGGGATCACTGAGGGGTTCCTCAGCTCCTGGAAGCCTCCCGAGCTGCACCCCATAAACATGGCCAGTTATCTCTGTGAGGCACCCGAGGCAAAGCGTCACCTTTGCAAAGGCACTCAAATGGTTAAACCTGAGGGCAGATAAAACAGAAGAGAGGGGGCAGAAAGAGGGAGACTCTTCCAGTTTGTTCGGGCTATTTTCAGTATCCAATTAACTTCCAGTGCTCTTCCCTCTCAAGTGCCCGGTGGCTTGGGAGAGCTGTCTTCAGCCCTTGGAGATGATTTTGCTCCTTCTCATCACATTTTCTTTGCTTCCGTCTTCATGGCCCATTCGTGCACCCTCTCGATAGCTGCCAATGCGGGTGCCCAAGGGGAGTCTCTCTGGAGCACGTTTTCTTCTTCTGTCCTCAGGAATGGCTGGAACAATCTACTTTCTGGCTGACCTGCTGGTGCCGAGCAAGGCCAAGTTCCCTGCGTTTGAACTCTAAACCCGAGCTTGGAATTCAAGTCCTTCTGCACTTGGAAAAGCAGTTCAAAGTTGCTTTCTCCTATTTCCAGACTCATCGTTTACCTACTGAACGTAAATCCGTCCTCATGACACGCTCAGTTCTTTAACATTTCTAGTCATCTCGTTGCACTGTTTTTATTTAAAAGACAGAATTAGGATTTTGCTGGCGCCTCCTAAAAACACAGGGCTGGGAGCGGGAGCGAGGAAATGTATAGTATTTTGTTGGCTTTACAGAGTTTTGCTATTTTCTGTATCCCATTTACTGGGAGAGAGATTTCTATTGAACCTACCTTTGCCCACTTAATGTTTTTGTTCTGACAGATAGTTACAGGAATTTAGTTGCCTCTGGAAAACAAGAGATGAACTACTGAGCCTAGGGCCCTGCACTTTGCTTCCAAAGCTTTCCGACCGTCCGGGGAGCAGGGAGCTCCATGGCTGGATTGTGCCCGTGAGGTGAACGTGATGCACTGTGCAGTCTCTGTATCCGTCTTTTCCATCAGGTTGCAGGTGGCACAGCTGGAGCTGACCTGCCGGAGCCTCGTCTTAGATTAACACCGTCTGCTCTGTCAGTGCAGGCTGTTACCTATAGCTTTTTGTGCGTTTTTATTCAGTGACAGGCAAACAAATAATCCAGTGGCTTTTGTGCTTAGTCACAATCTTAGGATAAATCTTCCAAAAGTCTATTGATCGCTGAACTGCAAACTTCAGTTTAAAAGTAAGCTAAGACTGCTTGCTGCTGGGGTCTCTCCTGTTTACCTTCAAATTGTTTTTGTCAGTCTGTATTTAAACTGGGCACTAGCCCTCTAGGTGTTACGTGGAACCAAGCCCAGGAGCAGCAGCATGGGAAATGTGTCACACTGAGTTCTGCCAGTGCTTAAACCCGTTATCAGTGTAGAGTTTTTTGTTGTGTTTTTATTTTTTACAGGCTTCGTTTTATAAGCTTTCCTAAACCTGGGCAGTGTGAGTGACTCATGTGGCTTGTTGCTGCTTGTGGTAGCTTGACATGCAAGCACGAATCCAAACGAGGAGCTGGAAAACCTGCCCTCAGCTGCAAGCTTTGGGCTGGCAGCTATAACCACATCCTTGCAAGGGACAAAGCAGCTTTGCTGGCCCTCAGAGCCCCTGCCTTAACCCTGAGCAAGCGGGAGCTGCACGTGAGTGCCCTGCAGGGCTCTGACCCTGCTGCGCTGCTCCGTGCTGCTGCGGGAGGCTCCCTGTCCCCGTGGGAATGGGACACCCGCCTACATGCACCTTGTGGATGGGCAAGCAGGAGAAGCCACCGCCTCGGGGTCGGCGTCTCCTCCCAGCCCGGCCTCGTGCTGCCACCAGCCTTATCAGCTGGTTTGTCTTGAAGAGCCTGAAGTGCAGAGAAACTCCCCTGCTTGCAGGCGGGTGTCCCACGAGGAACCTCCAATCCTGCAGCCTCAGTGTCCTAACCGCCTACAGGGCTGCAGGAGCAGGGTGAGCACCTGCACCGCCTCCAGCGCGGGGTTTGGCTCCCCCAGCAGCACGGGGACAGCAGGGAGCCTGGGCAGCTGCAGGCCTGGATCCCTCCCGGGCATCCTTCCTTTCTGCTCCCGCAGGCGGCCTGTGCAGCACCGTGTCCCAGGGCTCGTACATTGCTCTGAGAGTCACCAGGGCTGGGTGTAGCTGGGGCAGGTGGTGCGCTGTTTAATAAAATGCTAAAACACACACGCTCTGGAGTGTTTTTTCCCCTTTATGACCAAGGAATCACACCCTAAGAGTCCAAGAAGGGCCTGTCGCCCTCCGGTTAAGGTGCTGCAGCGCCCTCGGGCACCCCCAGCAGGTGACTGCAGTTCACAGGAACACAGATAAATATAGATTATTAGACATAATAAATAGATACATGCTGCTGGGATGCTTCAGACACTTCTGCCCCTCCAGTGCAGTAACGCAAAGTGCTTGTTTCAGACTGCTCACTAATACCCAGTGCACAAGTTTTACTCCTAAAGGACTAGCAGGGCTTTACCTGCTGCCAAGGGGCCCCAGCTTCTGTTTATTGCCTGAGAAACAGGCGCAGGCCACACTCCGTGCCCACCAGTGCTACCTGTAAGGTAGATCCTAGCACATACAATTTAAATCTTGCAAGAGCCTTTTTTGCTTGGTTGCGGTTTAGGGGTTTGACAGGAGGAAGAGCAGCGCAGCTTCCTCGGTAGCCTTAGACCTTGAACCCAAATACCCAGGCTGGGAAATTTAAACCCAAGAGTTACAACACGTTGAGCGTCTGAAGAGAAGATACAGCAGAGGGATGTGTCTTGTGCGATACTGAGGGCAGAGCAGTCGCCTGCAATAACCGCCCGAGGAAATTTGCTCAAGTCGACAAGTTTGTTACCGGCACCGGGGTCAGGGAGCCCTCGGCAGGTTTCAGCGTCTTCTCTTGAAGGAGTTTCAATAACCCGAGGCCTCAGAAGGTGCCCTGTGGGGTTGGTGAGGCGGTTCTCACTGTGCGGCCTTGTGCTCCAGCATGAACGTCTCCGTGTGGGCTGTTTGATGGGGTTTCCATGGGGTTCCTGGTTCTGCCCCCAGCCAGCTCCTCTCGCTGGCAGGCCGAGCTGGAAGCAGCTTCCGCACAAGGGCCAGCTGCAAAACAGCAGAAAATAGGGGAAAAACAGGGTTTCCTCTGCAAGTCTTGGGGGTTCTCACTGTGCGGCCTTGTGCTCCAGCATGAACGTCTCCGTGTGGGCTGTTTGATGGGGTTTCCATGGGGTTCCTGGTTCTGCCCCCAGCCAGCTCCTCTCGCTGGCAGGCCGAGCTGGAAGCAGCTTCCGCACAAGGGCCAGCTGCAAAACAGCAGAAAATAGGGGAAAAACAGGGTTTCCTCTGCAAGTCTTGGGGGGTGGGATTGCAAGTGGGTGGGGGGGACTTGTCACAGGCTTGGGGGCACCCCAGCCCAGCAGCTGAGAGCGGAGCCGCTCGTGGCCCCTGGCCCTTCTCACAGGGCAACAAAAGCCAAATGGGGCCTCTGGGGCTGGAGGAGCTGCAGCTGGGATAGCACAAGGAGCAGGGCAGGTTAAGTCTCTGAAATGGCTTGAATGCACTGAAATGGCTGATCAGAGTCAATAGGTACCAGGAATAGGGGTAAGACAGGGATCGGTTCCTACTCCCGACCACCTAAGGTGGAAAAAAGCGTAAGACTACGGCAAGAGTTAATCCCGGCTCAGTTTCACCCACCTCCTGCTGATTTGGTCCAGGGAGGCTCTCCTGGAGAAGGTCCCAGACAGAGCCTCATAATGCAGAAAAAGAGCTACTCCAGGACAGCCAACCTCTAAACCAGCAGGGATCCTTTCCAAAGGTCAGGATACAGGAATGAGCTGCGACAGCAGCGCTGAGGAAGGGGCCCGGCAGCAGCCCCATCCCTTCTCCATCCCTGCTTGGGACAGGCACTTCTTGAAAGGGAAGAGAAGGAAACCCCGTCTAGACTAAACAAATGGGGCAAGACATGCCAAAGAAACTCTTTTTTACTGTAAGCCACATTTCAATGTCTGGTTTGTTATGTTCCCCGAGGAGCTTTCAGCTCAGTCAGCGCAAGTCTCCAGCTCTTTGCTGAGAGATGCAACTTACTCTCGAGGTCTGATAGGAAACTTGAGATAAACAAGGCAGCTGAGATGAGCCAATTCAGCAGGCTGCCGCGGGAAACCCATCCCCAACAGGCAGTTTTGTGGCTCCCTTACTGACCCAGGCCTTGAAAGGCCCAGCTTACACCTAGGGCAAAAAGCTCCTTCCTCTCTTCCCCTGCAGAGACATCTTTTCAGGAAAACGTTCCCCACGTTACATGAAACTGCTTTGTGCTTCCCACTTCATCTTACCTACACCGTCCAAGTATTTCTACCAGCTGCTCCCCATTCCCATAAACTGCAAATGAAACCACCCGCATCCATGCGGGCAGCCCCTGGTTCTGTCAGCTATTCCTGCATCCAGCTGCTTCCCCCCGAGCCAGGATCTGGAAATACCTCAAAAGGGCAGGATCTCCTAGCAAACCCAGTAAAAACAAAGTGATCTTTTTAAACACATAGTTATTAATGAATCTACAGCTTCCTTTTGATAAGTCTAGCATGCAGAAAGCACAGGCACCCCTCACCTAACATGGGGTTTCGCTCTTGAGCCTGCGTCTCTCTCCTTGGGCCTTGTGCTTGCCATTTCTTTTCCCTCCTTCCCTTTGCTTTTCTGGGCGGCAGGGATGTTCTGGAAAAATCCACAGCGCAAGCGAGATCTGGGGCCAGCATCGCAGCCACGAGACCCCGGAGCTGCGCTGATTTACAGCCCCTTCGAAGCCACCCCATGGGCAACAGCTGAACGGGGGAGTCAGGAGGAGTTTAATTAACTTTGAATGGTTGCTCAGATTTCAGGCCTAGCTAATAAACCTGCTTGTGCTTGACCTTAACAGCAAGCCCTGCTATATTAATTAAAGGATCCCAGCAACTAAGCCCTGATTATTTTTTTCCTCCTGGAAAGGACAGACAGACTCTTCCATCATTGAGACAAAGGGGATGCTCCTCATCAAACACTGCCTGAGAGAGAGGTCTCACCTCAAGCTGGTAGATAAGAAGGCAATTTCCCTTTTACACAGTCACATTTATTTTTCCCTTGGGTCCCTTGCCTTTCCAAAGGATAAGAAAGTATCAGGTCATAACAACAGCCCTTGTTCCTGTCCCCACACTGTCCTGGGGGGGAAGGAGGGTGGTGGGTTTTACTCTTGATCTGAATCTATTGTCCTTGAACTCCAAGGGGAAGGCAAAGTGCTAGGTGGGATTAAGGCAAAGCCATCTTATCAATATTAGTTAATATTAATAAGAACTGTGCCCTCTTGCTGCCCCAGGGACCAAGCATGTGAGCACAGGGCAGGAGCACCCCAGACCGCTCACAGCATGACATTACCTGCAATATTCAGGTAATCTGGACAGTAAGGGCTCCCTTCAGAGGAGGGAGCAGAGGAGCAGTCCCTTTTCCACAGGCCTCCAGAGGGACAAAAGCCAAGCCTGTTTGCAACAGGTTACCTTAGAGCAACCTCAGTCTGCTCTGGGATGTTGTGTCCTCTCTGCTTTCTCCAGAGGGTGAACGATGGCATTCCC